TGCATTACCACACACACACACACACACACACACACACACACACACACACACACTTCCACCACCACCCACACACTCTCGCCTCTACCACCACCACCGCTTCCACCCCCCTCCCCCATCCGTTCCTCCGACACACTCCTACAGGTTCTGGTAATTGGTGATTGCAGACCAGAGGATTGGTTGGTAATTGTATGATATCGTCGATACACACAGCGATAGTTTTGTGGTCTGCAATGATGCTTTGTCTGGGGCCTGTTGTTGGGGGAGGGAGGGAGGGAGGGAGGGAGAGGGTTGGAAGGAGGGAGAGAGAGAGAGAGAGAGGGTTGGAAGGAGGGAGAGAGAGGTGAGGAAGGAGAGAGGTGAGGTGGGAGGGAGGAGGGAGAGGGTTGGAAGGAGGAGAGAGAGAGGGTTGGAAGGGAGGGAAGGAGAGAGGGAGTGTTGGGTTGAGAGACGGATGGAGGGTTGAAGGTGAGGGAGAGAGGGAGGGAGGGACAGTTAATGTGTGGTGTCGTCACGGGAGATGGAGTGTGTTGTGATCTGTTACAGAGACGCTATGTTACACGGTGTGATGGTGACATGTAACCTGTGTTTATTTTGGTTCCAGTTAATGATGGGTTATATATTAATAAAAGTTAATATATATAAAGAGAGAGAGAGAGAGAGAGAGAGAGAGAGAGAGAGAGAGCATTGAACAAAGTATTATCCTTCTTCTTCCTCTTCTCTATTCTCTCAAATAATGTCTTACCTCTTGTATTTAATTTTGTTTTCTTATCTATTCCTGCGACTTTTCCTTATACTAAATCATTCTTTTATCACCTCAATGTAAGAGTTCTTCCTCGTCAGTAGCTTCGATAGACACACAAGAAGGCAGTGTATGTAGGTAACTCTTGGAGGTATTTGTTTTTTTTTGAGGTCTTGATATATTGTCTTAAGCTGAGATAATTGTTGAAGTTGATGATAGAAGGGAGAGAGGCAGGTGAGGTGAAGGATGGATAATAATAATAATAGGGTATCTTATCTTTCTCTACTCCTCTTCCTTCTGTTTATTCCGTCTTCCTACGTCACCCTTCCATTCCCTGTCACTTTTATACTTATCTACGTTTTCCTTGTTTTTGTTTTATCCAGTTTTCTCACTTCCTGTATTATTTAGTTATTCCTTTGTTGCTCACTTCCTCTCTTAGTCATTCTCTTCTTTTATCTCTCTCATTACTCTCACCAAATCTCCTTCTTCCTTCATTCTCTTCTTCCCTCATTCTCTTCTTCCTTCCTTCTACACACCTCTCCACTCATCCTCACCCCACACCCCTTCACTACCCTCCCCAATCACCACTCCCCTATCCACTCCTCTCCCCATCTTTTCTTACTCATCCCAGACCTCTCCTTCTCCCCTGTCCTACACCCCCCACCTCTTTCTCCCCCCCCTCTCTCACTCCCCCACCTCTCTCCCCCTTTCCTCCCAACTGTGATGTTTACAAATTATACTCGACTGATGGCACCTGCAATTGCCGACACAACACTTGCATAGTTGAACACCAATTTTTTACTTTCTTTTCTATATCTTTCTCGATTTATTAATTTTTTTTTATTTTTACGTCTCCTAAATTTACGTTTTCTTTTATGTTTCTGGTTCTTGTCTCTTTTTTTTTCGTATATTCCTAACTTATTATTTTTCTTTAATTTTTTCTTTCTTTCCTTTTTTCTTTATTTTTCTTCTTTATTCTTTTCCGTCATTCTTACTTTCTTATTTAAAAGTTTTCTATTTTCTTATCTTACTTCATTTTTTCTTCCTTCTTCCTAATCTTTCTTTAAACCTATCATCATCACCATCATCACCATCATCACCATCACCACCATCACCATCATCACCATTTTTTTTTCATTTTACAATACAAAACATCCAGAAATATTCCACCACAACTTACCTCACCTAACAGCCCCCTTATAAACTTGCCTCGCCAACAAGTTATTGACATGCAGCTCATAATAAGAGACTGACCCACCTGTAATATATGTTCTTGCATCTTGGTAATTTTTTAAAAAAGAAATTATCAAGATGTTGGCTGAGGTAAAGTTGTGTACAGGTGTTATTACAGAGGGGTGGAGGTGTTAGTTAGTATCCTGGTAAGTAATAATGATAATAATAGTAATAATGACAATAATAATAATGATAATAATAATAATATACCTTAAGACAGTTAAGATAAGTATGTACCTTTATTAAACTCTTCAGTCCTTCGTTTCATATCAATTCCAATTACACTATTAGATAATTAGTATTGTTATAATATCTTACAACACTTCAACAACTAAGGTCTTTAAGCGCATAACAAGGTCAGTAAATACAACTCGTCCAATTGTAATAAATTAACAAATCAAATTCATTCTTCCTTCCGCTTAGTTTATGGTCAGATAACATTGTGATGTAACTATATAATATGTTGTAAGTAAGGAAGAAAATAAAGATCTACCATTAACTTTGATATATTTTATTTATTTATTATGAATTTGTATTATTTTTTGTATATGTCATGAGTCTTAATATTACGGTAATTTAACAGATTTGAATTGAATGTTATTTTTTTTTTCAATTCGTTAGATTTAAATTTTTTTGTTTTATTCCATTTTCTTGTTTTTACGATTTTGTATTCGGTTTATTCGTATTTTTTTTATTTATCGCTTTATTGTTAATTTTAATCTTCTCTCATTAACTCCATCATTCTTTATTCCATTTTATAATTTTATTCGTTGCATCTTTTTTATTCATCACATTTCATCTTTCCATCTTCTTACTCTTGTACATTAAAATTACATTAACTAATCATTTACATTTACACACACACGTTTACCCTTCGATTTCTATTCTTTTTTTACATTCCGATTTAGTAAACAGAGACTGGAGGCAGATAAAGCCATACGACAGGTCCTCAGTCAGGTACGACAATATCAGCACGAGACGATGACGACGCCTCTGATGACAGGTTGTCGGAGGGGCGGCCAGCGAGAACCATCCAATTTGCTCCCTACAAACACCCATTACGACACTCACGCCCGTGGATAATCGAATTTTTGGTATATATCTAATTACAGGGCGGTGGGGAGGGAAATATTCGGTGTGTTTGTGTTTTAAGGCCGTGAGAATCTGTGGATACAAAGTCACCACCATTATGAACTGAGGAGGAAGACTATATATTGTACTACGATAATCACCTTTTTTTTTGGCGGAAGGTATTGCACGATTGAGCTTACGTGGCAGTTTGTGTTGTTGTTTTGATCTGTAGTGCCACGTCGTGTTGTGTGTTATGATCTGTAGTGCCACGTCGTGTTGTGTGTTATGATCTGCAGTACGACGTCGTGTTGTGTGTTATAGTTATCAGTACGACGGCGTGTTGTGTGTTATGATCAGTAGTATGACGTCGTGTTGTAATCATCACGATCTATAACAGTTCCTGGAAGTGGGGATCCCGTGAACAAGTTGTGTGGCATCCGCTCTGGGCACCTCGGGTCACGAAGAGGTCGTCATGGGCCAGTACTCAGGGTAGGGTGGCCTGGAGTGACGTGAATCGTGGCGTGGTGGGCTTGGGTGGCCGTGGAGAGTGTAGGTAGATGGGTGGGTGGGCAGGTGTGGGTTGGGGGGGGAGGGGGGGCGTGTTGGGACGACGTGGGGATGACGTGTCTCGTGGCGTGGACGTGTGGATGGGTCGTGTTGCGGCTCGGGGCTGTGTAATCGACAGGAATGTTGTAAGGCAAGAGTGACTGATTGAGTGAGGTGGGCGACCCGGAGACTCACCAGGTTTTAACGTCAATATTTCCTCCCTAGACTGAAGACGTGACGATACATCTAACTGCTACACTTTAGCTAAGACGCCAAAATATTCATAGTCAAAATGGTGTCAATATCACCCGGAAACTTTACCATTACAAGAGGAGGGAACAAAAATCTTTATCTTCCGAGTTTCTTTGAGAATCCCGGAATGATATAAATTCTCTTAAGATCTGTAAGTAATTTTCACCCTACGTCACCTTCCTTCCTTCCTTCCTCTCTCCTCTTTCCTTCCTTTATCAAAACAACTACATCCTTTTTCTTTTCCTCTTCTTACTCCAATATTCCCCCTTCGTTTCTTCCCTTATCCCTGCCTACGTCTTTCCCTTACTCCTTCCCTCCCTTTATACCTCCCATATTCCCGTTTCCTTCCCTCCCTTTAATCCCTCCCTTATTCCTCCCTCCCTCAGGCACTACAAGCGTCACGGTGTATAGAAGGTCACAGGGTTGAGCATCGAATTCGTACCTCCGTCTCCCATACGTCTAATTCTGGGGGATGAAATATGGCCTCAATGTTCCGGGTACGGTTCATAAGGGGCGTCTGGGGCCTGGCGCTGACGGCACACCCCTCAGGAAGGTGGCTTTAATTAGTGAGGTTTCCTGTTGACACTTCGGCAGCTAGTTCGTCGTCGTCAAGAGAGATAATAATAATTTCTTCCAGGTGTTTGTCTTTATGAAGGAGAGATAGAGAGACAGATGACGAGATAGAGAGAGAAATAACTTTAAAAGGAACAAAATTATTGACATGAAGAAACCGAGAGATAAATACAGTCTCTTTTGTTTGTCTCTATGGAGGAGAGATGTAGAGAGAGGAACATAGATCATTTATTAGAAAGAGTTGTTGCTAATACTAAGAGAGAGACTTTAGTGCTGTCTCCCTCGTGTGGGTCTCTAGACAGAAAAAAAGAGAGATGCGTTGAGAGATAGAGAGGTACAGCCACCATTGATATATTAAGGAAAGGTTAACTAAAGGCTATAAGATGATGATAAACATACAGTACGAACTTGGAATACTATTACGAATGAGATATTTCACGACAATAATGACTTGACGTTGATATATCACTGTTTTAAATAATGTAACATATACGTACAAATTCCTGTAATCATATCATACCAAGATCATATTCACACTACCACAACACAAGTTACACACTCAAACGTTCACTGTCTCTCCACTCACCTGGCCATGTTTGTCCATCTCGTTGTTGGTGAGTTTGACCTTCTCAAAAGACACGATCTGCTTCTTGAGTTGGTCGCCGGAGTAAGGACAGTCGGGGTGGGCGTAGAGGCGGTAAGGTGGTGGTGGGTCAGCCTTACCTGCCACCAGCCATGACGACCGATGGTACGCGTATCTGTGATCATTACCATATTAGTTAATGAATATGTGACAGTAATTAATAGTATAAACACACGCTCCAAAAAACATCTTTACGGTTTTCTGTTAGACAATGACACACCGGACGAAGGTTTTTGACAACCCTACCTAGACAACAGGAGTCGCAGTGTTCATTCTTAAATTCATTGGACCCCTCCGTAAAGATTCTTTTTGAAGTGTGTGTGTGTGTGTGTGCGTGTGTGCGTGTGTTTGTGTGTGTGTGTGTGTGTGTGTGTGTGTGTGTGCGTGTGCCTATGATGATGCATGTAAGTGCTACTGTATCAACATTAGTGGCGTTAAAACAAGACATGAACAAAGCACCGTGAATAGTAAACATTACTTCATAAAGAAAGTTTCTATAAGATTAATTTCCTAATATATACTATGTAAAATGTTTCAGGTTTTCACGTAAATACAAAAAAAATCAACAAATGTCTTTAATAACTTTTTCTCAGTAACACAAATGGTCCAGAATTCTCGAACATTTACAGGAGGAAAACAAATGACGTAAGAATCATCAAGGACTAACATGTTGGTCGGGATTAACATAGATAAAATATGTTAATTTACATTCCTCAAAGTTGGTTTTATGAGAATTTAATCCTCAAAAGTTAAATCTTGATCTTATTCTGGACTTAAGCTCTACTGTAAGCAAGTCAATTAGATGCGTTCTCACACCCGCAGTTACGAGTATTCACCCTGGCCTTTACTAACACGTTTAAGACACTATAAATAAAACTGTTTGGCCATGGGGGGGGGGGGACAAGGGAGAGAAGAGATAGGGAGGTAAGCAGTAAGGAAGGAAAGGAAGAAGCAGGGAGCTAAACAGTGAGGGAGGGTAAAGAGAGAGGGAACTTGGCAGGGAAGTAAACAGTGAGGAAAGTGGGCGAGGGGAGGACCCACCTGTAGCGTTTGTTATCGACGGGAACAATGTCGAGGAGCACCGCGTATCTATGCTCAGACTTAAGTCCCGTGAAGGACGCCCTGACTGTGGGGAACATACGCCTGCAAGAAAGAGAGAAAAAGATACATTATATACTAGATTTTTATAGATATATACATGGATTTTTATCAAGTTGAAATTGGTTCAGTATGTACACACACCAAAAAATTATCAACGAATTTGAAAATGAACATTGTGACTGATGTTGTCTCGGTAGGGTTATGAAAAATCCTTATTCACTCAAACACAAAATCGTGTAGGCATATGATAAAACATTATTAATAGACTGCATATAAACAAACAAAGGTACAAATAACAGCGCTGGTATATAATCAATGTATAAAGCCAATGTAAACAATCATTCCATTTGATCAATATAAATTTCTCCCCGTTAAAAGATAATTTTTTTACCGTACTGTTTAATTACTAAATCATTAATTATCGTACATATACTTGTTTTATTTAACCATTTACTTATTCATCTTTTTCATTATTTATATTTCTAATTACATAAATGGTTACCAATTAGGGAACAGTTAAGTTTCCCCTGTACACATTCCCGAATCTCACGAGGGTAAACTATGAAAAAATGAGGAAGTGGATAAAAAAAATGGATAAAAACTCATTGTAAGAGATGATGAGGGAGGTTACATGAGAGCCAGATAGTCTCAGAGGATTGATGGGTATTGGGTGAGGCTAAAATAGTGATTGAGATTGATGGAACAGTGGCAAGGGAAGTGACGGAAATGGATCATCAGACTTGAGGTTAGAGAATTGATTGAAATTGATCAGAGTGATGGATAGAACTTGATCTGAGTGAGTGATGGTTGAAGGAAGGATAGACAATGGAGTAAATAAAGGATAGAAGATTGGTGGTCACACTGAATGAAGACAGAAAGGATGATGTAAAGTGATCACATATCAAATAATAAACGATTGAAAATTGATCAAACTTCAGTCGAATGAATATTTTGAAAAATAATCGAACGTAATGTAAAAAGAACGACGGAAATTGATCTGACATAAACTACATGAACGATCGATTAGACTTGAACACCTGCGGCAGCCTCCAAACACCTGTGGTCATTTATCTTACACGTTTAATCAGTAGTATTTAGTAAGTCATGTGTTAAATGATGTTCTAATGTCAAGAAGAATTTACTAAAGCCTTTACTAGCTCTTATAGACAGACAGAAAGACACACACAGACACACACACACACGCACGCACACACACGCTTCCAATCTGACTACCATACCTCCTCCCCCTATTCCCTACTTACTCCCCGACTCATCTACTCCCCTATTCCCTACTCCCTTAAAAAACTACCCAAGGATCCGTAGAAAATCGAGCAGCGTGTTAAAGCCCACAGGCGTCGGGCAGCCGCTGTATGCAAATTGGCCCTCCGAGCGGAACTCCGGTGTTCTCAACGATGATGGTGAAGAAAGCCTCGCTCGCCACACCAGACGCCTCGCTCGCCACACCAGACACCTCGCTCGCCACACCAGACACCTCGCTCGCCACACCAGACACATCTCTCGCCACACCAAACAGCTCGCTCGCCACACCAGACACCTCACTCGCCACACCAGACACATCTCTCGCCAAACCAAAAAGCTCGCTCGCCACACCAAACAGCTCGCCAACAAGAAGGTGGAAAAAGTGAGATCACCTGAAGATTCGCTCCCACCTTAGGTTTATTACACCTTCAATTTAACTACCATAACGCTAACCTAACCTAACCTAACCTAATCTAATCTAATCTAACCAAATCTAACGCTAACCTAACCTAACCTAATCTAATCTAACGGTAACCTAACCTAACCTAACCCCCAATGAAGCGTTCAGATGGTTACTCTTTAGGTGAAATAAGCTTGGTGGGCGGGCGGGGGGGATGGAAGCCTTTAGGTAATTAAAAAAAATATCGAATAAAAATGAGAAAGGAAGAAGAGAAGAGAATGAAGGAGAAAAAATGGAACTAGCGAGGTTAATTGTGTGTGTGTGTGTTGGTTTTAGTGAAGGCGGTGGGAGATTTCTTGTCATTGGGTAAGTTCATTGTCTCTCGCTACTGCTCATCTCAGTCCACTTTTTCAATGGTTAATCTCGTTAGTCAACCGTGAGCGGAGGGGAGGGTGGAGGATTGATTTTTTTGGGGTGTTGGAAGGTGTATAAGGGAGTTTTAAGCTGAGATTAACTTAACTCTTTTGTATATCTTGAAAGTCATAGAAAATTGTAGGTATTTTTTTTTTGGTCTCTGTCTCATTAGGTAATATAAGTAATGCATCTGTATTAATGACTGGTCCTGAAGGTGGTCTTGTGGTCTCTCCTCAGCTAGGGAAAGAGACACACACACACACACACACACACACTCTCAGAGAATCTCAGCGAGGGTGAACAACAAAAAAATTCCACGTAATCGCTAAACACACGAAGTTGTTGCCGCCGGAAAATCAATTTTCTTTGTCTGGTCCCCAACTAGAGGAGGCTGGTGGCCGGGGCTGTCGTCTTCATCCCATCACTAAGGGGCTGTCATCCTCCTCAATCACTGCTAGCGTAGTTGTTCGTATTGGTAGCCGTAACTACGAACTGAACTCTCGTCTTAACACCCTCCCCCTCTTCCTTCTTCTCCACCTCCTCCTTCCCGCCATCACTGAGGATCATTTACACTCTGGCGGCATCTAGGCGGAATTCCTCCAGTCGGGCGGAGCGGATGTGAACTAAGCTATCACCTGCCAACAGACACATGGGGGAATCTCTCTCTCTCTCTCTCTCTTTCTCTCGTTATCTCTTTCTCTCTCTTAAAGAGTTCTTATGTTGGTTTTTGGTGAAGGGATTCAAGGTTGAGTATCTCGGTACATACTACTACTTCTTCTCCTTCTTCTTCTCCTTCTTCTTCTCCTCCTTCTTCTTCTTCTTCTTCTTCTTCGTGTTGTGGTTCGCTGAGGTGTTAGTCGTCCAGTCAGTCTCTCTCACACCCCCATATTTGTTTTCCCTCATTCATGTTTTGACGTCAAGTTGTTATTCGTGTTATTTCACCTTGACACTGTTATTGTTGTTGTTCTTCTATGCGGTGCCTCAGCTGTCAGGTTCATTAAGGATCGTTCACTTAAGGTCTTAGTTGCTACAGTAAATACATGAGAGATTATTAACTCAAGAGGATATGAAATTTGTTGATAATATTACGGGTTTTTTGGGGTCTTTTAATTGTTTCGGTCTTAAGTCCCTACAGAAGAGGATTTTTAACACTTGGTAAATAATATAATAGACGTCTCAGAACTATCACTCGGGAAAAAACAATTCAATTTGTTTTTAATTATTTTGTTGTCTATTTTATTGTGTTTACTAAGTGCTTAAAAAAAATAAAATAAAACTTTTAGTTGTTGAGGCGTGATACTAAACACATACTTAACATTTTATTACATTGATGTTTGTCTCTTTAAATGTTTAATGATCTAGCTTTAATGACAATAATACATACATTCAATTGTTTAAAGTTTAATAAATAAATTTTGACCCCATCACCACCATCACCCCCCCCAAAAAAAAACCACACAAGAAAAAAATCAGAAAACAAAAACACGAATACAAAAAAAAAACATAATTTGAAATAACTAAAGACAAGAATTTGCATATTTTACTTTTTAGGGGAGGAATAAGCATATATTAATTCACGCGGATTTCACCCCTCCACCCCCTGGTCTGACCACCGAAACAACAACCACCACCACCACATCGCTGCCACATACTCTCAATCAGAAGAACGTAAAGATAACAAATTATTATGAGCTTGGACAAATATTAGCACACACACCATCATGGCGTTCTTCTCGTTAACAGTGTTTTGTGGCCGCAGGGAAAGACTATCTGAGGCCTTCCACCCCCCGAGCCATCACCACCGTGAAGTACTCAACTCGCGCTAGGGAGAAGGGGGGGGGGAGAGGAGGGAGAGAGGGGAGGAGAGAGAGAGAGGAGGGAGAAGCGGAGGAAGGAAGGGGAGAAGTATGAGAGGCATGGATAAGGGTGGATGTGTTGGGAGGAGGCCGTAAAAGGGTAAATGCTAAGGGAAAGGGAGTAATGGTATATCTAAGGGGGAAGGGAGAGAGTAAAAGTGTGAAGAAAGGGTCGAAGGTGGGATAAAGGAAATGGTTATATACAATGAAGGGGATAGAATAAGTGGAAGAAGGAGAAGAAGGGTAATTGGAGTAAAGGAACTAAGGGAGACTAAGATAAAGGAAGGTGGAAAGGGTGGGGGTGATGGGGAGGTGAGGGAAGGAGGAAGCATAGTGGTGAAGGAGTTAAGAGCGAGGGAGAAGAAGGAAGGGAGATAAGGAGAGGTGAGGGAAGGAGGAGGAAATGACTTAGCCTAAAGAAAATGCACAGAAATTGAAATACAGAAGGAAACAGGAAATTAATTAAAAAATGTCTTGGAAGAATAAATATATTGTTCCCCAGTCAATAAGAATGTCTCCACCTGCATTTAATTCTCTCTATACCGGACGTGTTTGAGACCCGTTCAGAGGTAAAGAGGATAAAACCATTTTTTTTTCAAACATGTGACAAGACAATCGTAAAGAAACCGAATGGGAAAAACAAACAATGTCCGGTTTGGAGATAATTCCGGTTAAGAGGAAAGTCCGGTTTAGCGAGAATAAAGTTTGGTTAAGATGTAATTAAATCCGGTTAAGAGTAAAGTCCGGTTAAGAGAGGATACAGTCTGAGTGAGAGGATAAAGTCCGGTTAAGTGAAAAGAAGGAGAAAGAGATGGAGTAATTTATGGACAGAAGAGGAGATGATGGAGGAACTGGGAGATAGGAAGAGGAAGAGGAGAAGTAGGAGAAGAAGGAGGAGGAGAAGCGTGCTGACTCAACAAAGGATCACTGACAAAAAAATGTAAAAAAAAAAATAAAATAAAAAAAAACCGAGAGAAAAAACACAACTTCCGCCCACGACTCAATGAAGCTTCGTCCTGAGACTTTATTAACAACCACCTAATGTGTCCCCGCCGCTTAGGTGCTCAGGTGATTGCTTCAGCTGCCTTGTTAACTACTACGTGGTGTGAGGT